CCCAACTAGTGGAAGTATAGAATCTATTTCTTTTTAATACTCTCTCCCAACCATCTAGTATCCAACCCTCTCAAGTATACACAATCACTATTATCGCTCTTATATAATTCTTAATTAATTACTATAATTAATCAATACCTTGCCTATCAATATAAGAACGGTAACAATATATAAAAATATAAAAAGTATATAAAGTATAAAAATATAAGAGTACAAAGTAGAAAAATAGAAATATATAAATATAATAATTAATAATATGTAACGCAATTGTAAAATGTTCTAAGTTCTTTATATAATTTTATAATTTTGTAAAATTTTATAAATTATGAAATTAATAATTTTTATAATATAATTATAACAATATTAATTAAATAAATAACTCATCAATTAACATTGATTATAAATTTATTTAATTATAAATAATATCTATTAGCAATTAATTACAGTCAAACCCCTCTATAGTCATCACCCTCGGGAAAGCAAAATTTGATAACTATAGAGGAAATGTGACTATATAAGAGTTTTTTACTATGTTTATATGTAAATAGGAAAGCAAAATAGGGTGATTATAGAGGGATATGACTATAAATGAGTGTGACTATAGAGAAGTTTGACTATATATTCACTTTTATTAATTAATATTAATTGTAATTATAATTAATTGCTAGTTAAATTCATTAATAATTAATTATTAATTATATCTATTGATAATTAATTATTAGTAATTCATTATTTACTATCAATAGTAAGCATAATTAATTATTAATGATAATTATTAATTATATTTGATTATAAATAATAATTATTAATTATAATTAATTATAATTATTATTAATCAATTATAATTTCTTTTAATAATAAATAATAAAAATATTAATAATCAATTATTAATGAATATAATTATAAATTGATTATTAACAAATATAAAAATTTTCTGATAAATATTGAGCCAATTTTTTATTTTGTATAAGATAAATAAATTGAACACATTGCTATGATTTTTAGATTTGAGAAAAAAAGTAATAAAGGATGAATTTTCTTTTTTTTCTTTTCAAAAAGCTGCAATATATTATTATATTTTTTCATTTCATTATATTAATACATGGTTACAAGTTTTATTAATTATTTATTAATAATTAATATATAATATTAGTAATATTAAATAATAACATGACAAATAAAGATGTTTATATTGTATGTATAATCTATATTCTTTAAAATTTGTTTTTTAATACAAAAAAATTACTGCTAAAATTTTGAAAAATGAAATCAAATAGACTCGCATACTAATAAAAAACTATAATCTACTTAATAAATTTTTATTTTTTTATATAATATAATTCTAAAAATAGTAGCAATAGATGTAATAAATTTTTAATTGGGAAATTTAATCTGTAGTTATAATGAATTAGATCTTTCTTGATTATTTAGTTTCTTTAAAAACATACAATTTATTTTGATTATATATCATATCAAGGAACAGTTAATAAATACAAAATTTGTATAAGACAAAAAAGTTTGAACGAAAAATATTAATAAAAGCATACTAACCTAATTCGGGTAAAAATAAATTAACATCTATATTTAGCATTCTATAAGCCGGTCTTATGAGAATCTCTTGCATCCTGAAAATACTGTAATTTAAACATGTATTCTATCAAGTGACATTATTATGGAAACAAGCACAATTTTATCAATCATTTTTAATATGATCATAAACATATCAAAATGGTTAAAGTTCATTTTAATACTGCGAAAACAAACATTATTGAAAGCCAATACTAATGAAAAATATGCAAATAAAAACGCAAAAATTATGAACTTACCCTGCAAAATTATCGAATTTCAAATTCGGAGATACTGTAGCGTAACTTATCGAAACTTGAAAAATTTATTCAATTAAATTTTGTGAGTATCGGTATTTTTTTGAGATTCTACATTTTTCTTTTCATTATGTTGAGAAATAATATTTTCGATGTCCATTGTAAATCATGTGACTTGAAAAACTTTAAAATAGAATCACAAAAGTGTGATAATATAGATTGTAGAATAACTTTACTTGAATTCTTCAATGAAATCCAACATAAATTCAATACTAAAAGAAAGTTCAGAATGAGAGCTTTTTTGAATTACTTTTAGAAAAATATTGGATGTAACTTTTGAACTGATTGAAAAGTGCTGTAATTATAATTTTTTATTGTATATGCATATAAAGAATTTGTTTGATATCCGATCATTTTGAGTGTTTGTGATTTTGTCGTTTCAAGGAAAAATCCAAGTAAAAGTTGTGCTATTGAATTCCAAATTTTACTGATATTTTTCATTGAATAATAATTTCAGTATTTTATTAGAGATGATAGTCAAAAGTCCAAAATATCTAAAATACCAAAAAATGCCACCCTCGTAAAGTTGGATTTTTGTAGTAGATTTATTTAATTTATTATTATTATGGTAGATTGGTAAAATCTGATAAATTATTTTTCTTATAATCAAACTACGTAGTTCTCTCGCTATAAAGTACTTGAAAAGGTACAGTGAAGAAATCGGAAATTTCGCCTACACCATGCCGATAACGATAATGCAATTTTTGTACACAATAGCGTCTTACTATAATGATTCACTAAAGAGGGGTTTTCGCAACGGGGATGAGAGCTAGACTAAATTATTTACGATCAAAGGTTTCTTTGGGTGTTCTAAAGGTTTCCTGTGGCGAATTGTACACAAATCGACCTTTTCTTTACGATGGAGGGCGTTTGGGGGGAATAGAATAGAATAAAATCATTCTTGTAACGAAAATCAAATCAATATGATAATAAAATCTTGTTTATTCAACAGCAATCAATATAATCGCAAACATAACAGGACTTATTGATACGGCCTGTTCAAAGAAATACTCAATACTAAAAAGGGTTATTGATACGGCCTGTCTAAGAAAACAGAATCAATTCTACAGGACTTATTGATACGGCCTGCCCAAAATAACAATTCAAAAGAAATCGACGGCTTGTTTAGATTGGAGGAGCATCCACTACTTGCAATCACGCACAAGGTTTGAAGTTTGATCACAAAACAAAACAAAATAATAGTGTATTCACAAGTAATATTATTATTATAAGTAAGAACTTTGTTATTTTATTAGATCAAAAGCATATCTTCTCCGAGTTCCCTAAGGAATTATATATATACAATTTTGAATCACTACGCTAATTCTACGGTTAGTATTTTACATTGATGGTTTTTCTTAGAACAACTAAGCAATAATCGTTCGATGTCTTAGATAATTGTCGTTTTCTCGATGTTATGTGCATTACTATTGAAGAACGGATGGAGATGTTCATAACACAGGAAAAAAAAGGTAATTTCTTAATTTGGTTTTCAATACGAATACTAATTATGGAAGGATTATCACGTAGGAAGTTATGGAAAGATATTACAGGATCAAAGGATTTAATGTTACTACGTCAACGCGTTTTTGAATGTAAATAGTAATTATAATTATTAAATATTTTTCAAGTATAGTGTTATAATGAGTGACTAATAGCAGCAAAAAGTAAGAAAGTGACTGGTATTTGATAGAAATATCATTGTTCATCGAAATGTAGATTTTGTGTTGAATGCAAGTCGCAAGAACCGAAATGGATGCATATTAGCTCATTTATATTCGAAGGTTGATATCGAAATAAAAGAATTTTATACTTGTATAATCTCTAAAACCTTAGGCTTTCTTGGTGATTACTTTTCCTGATCCGAATTCGTAAACACCTAAAAGAATTTCATCCACTTTTTTACGAAAGTAACATCAAAACTAAAAGCTTCAATTAATGAATCCTATTCAGATAATCGTTGAGCATGTACTTTATCGAAGCTTTGCGTCAATTATGAGTTACATATAATCTATCATCATATCGAGTTTTATCTGGTTCGATGAGATAGCAAAATTTGATACAAATATAATTTTTGGTAGATAATGTTTTTCACTTTGTGATTTTGTCAGAAGGCTGCAAATATCTTAGGATATATTTAATGAAAATCACATTGGTCAAATACTAAACAAGAAATCTTTAATGAGTTGAATGCTAACAAACAAAGGATCAAAGTTTCAACAGAATCCAAAGCTTTTTTTCAATGTTACACATTTCCTTTTAAATGACGCGATTAAAGAAATGAATACAGTATTACTTTACCCACACACTAATTGTTCTCACCATCGGAATTCCCCCATTATGAAATCATTGTGGGAAATAATTTGATTAAATAACGCGTTCCCACTTATATAATTAGTTGTGCTGACTGTTGGTAAAAATATTATTATATAAATTGGAGTCGAAACCTATCAAAATAAATTATCTGATTCTCAGATTTCAATTATTACAATTCGACGAATTCTTTTTTCTTATAAACTTGTATCTAACTTGCAAAAAGGTTTTGATTTTCACTATTTAATATACGAGACGAGTTATACGACATCGTTTCATCTAATTTAATCTATAAACAAAATAATTAATTGTTTAGATGAGCAAAAAAGGCAGTAGTGGTGGCGGGGGAGGTTCTAAAACTCGAATGACATCTGGTGCGGCCGCACGTATCCAATCATCAGCTGCGAAATCAAGCGGTGGCAATGTCTCAAAAGGAAGTTTCGCTGCAAGAGCCCAAGCTGCAGCGGCTAAAAATGCAACCAGTGGTAACATCAGCCATAAAGGTGGCGGTGGTGGTAATAAATAAGAAAAAAACTTGCTTATTATCATTAATACGTACTTTGTGATTTCACTTTTATGTATAAATATTTTTCTCTAATCTACAAAATTCAGTAATAAAAGTGCACATGCAATTTGAATAATTGATTGTGAAAACTTTCGACTCTTCAATATTATACACATCTATAAATGAGCCTAAATGTCGTAATTAATTTCAGCATCTACAATGTCCAAATTATTTTTGGTAGCCGTCGCTAAAATTGGTCATGTGTCCGCTTATATATAAGGTTATCATGTTGTCACGTACCATGAAAATAATCCATTTGTTTACTCTCTTCCTAGTATGAGCCAACAAAAGAAAGAACCGTATGGCTTTGATGGCAAGTACACGTTTTCTAAAACAGACGCGACTTTCTACATTTACTCATCAATGCAATATCAAATTCTCAGTCTTTAAGTCATATTTCGCGTGGGCGACGGAGCAGAACGTTATCCCTTCTTTGTCAGAATTTGTTCCATTTTCGAGTGACCTTCTGGGACTGGAGGGTGGTGGAAAAAGCGTTTCGAGTTAGCTTCAAATATCTTACGTACCAAGGAAAATATGTCTCAACTTCTGTTTAGGGCATCCGCATCGGGCTATACTGATTGCGGGTAGTTAGGTACATTGCGCTTACTCAAAGTCGCGCATCCCTCGCCCTAGTGGTGTTGTCGGAAGCTTCAGTCGGGCTTACTGACTGCGGTTGTTAGGTACATTGCGCTTACCCAAGGTCGCGCATCCCTCATCCCCAACATTGCGCATTCTTTCATACCAACATTGTCAATATTGTGTCTCTTGCCTTGATAAACACATTCTAACTCTTTTCAATTATGAAATACAGATAATTAAAGATAAAGCCGATTGGTCTTGTGTCATCGAAAAAAGACATAGGGTAGGTTACAAGATCCTATGGGTTGGTTTTTCTTGATCAATTTTGCAATGATTTAACACTGACCCGATATACGTCAGATCCAAATCTCAAAGTCGTCACGAAAAAACCTACACTATGTATTCAAATGAGAATGAGTATGTTGGAAATGAGTTGCTAGAAGACCAGAAAAAACCAGAACTTGACGCCAATGACTCTACTTGTGCAAAAACTACGAAACGACTTCTAGATGTTGCAAAAGAAAGCCCCCCGAAACGTGTGGCAAAGGTTAGTGTTATGGATTTGAACCATTGAGAATTTATTCATTTTAATTAACAACCGATGAGAACAACTTGAATGGGCTTTTTACAACATCTGGCGGGAACGATTCAGATAAATCCTATTATCCCGGTTCGGATGAACCAGATGATGATACTTTCATTGAGATAAAAAAGAAGAGAAATAATTATACCTATGACTGGTTTACTGGACCAGGTGTTATGAAATCTTCATTAAGTGAGGGTGCAAAAAAGGTAACTTTTAAACTTTTATTTGAGTTTATTTAGAAAAGATTTTAATTCTTCTTCATATATGCAGTGGATTATCGACACACTCGACGTTTCGAATTTATTACTAGAATATCGTGATATGTCAGTTCAACGAGCTTCTGAGAATAAGATTGAAGAAGTTGCTGAAATACTGTAAGTTCTAAATTGACAAATTCTTTATGCGTTCGATTGTGTTCTTTTTTTAAAATGCTTCTCATTATTGTAGTTCATTGAATCATATATTTTATTCGAACAAAATGTGACGATTGGGGTTTCTTCAATGATCGAACCGGAATCATTAAATGTTATTTTCGATACTATCAAAAATGAATTTGCTCCATATCATTTATCGAATGATGATGTTTTACGGTGTCATAAAATGGCACAGGTATGACTTTTCTGATATGGTCTTAATATGGTGATTATTCATAATAACGTATTTATTAAATAGACTGCAAGCGAAGATTTTAGAAAATGCAAGCCATTATTGAGAAAATGGCAAAAGGATCTTGACGATGATCAAGAAGATTTAATTCTAGAAACGTTCGAGTCAATGTGAGTATCTGTAAGGCTTAAGAATTGTTTATCGCTACTTATTTAACATAATATAGTTTCTATATTATAGAATAAATAATTTTAAACCGGAAGTGTACAGGCAAGATTTAAAAGAAGATTCCTTTGTGCATGAAGTTTTTGAACCTGTGATCAGGCCATTTTTCCGCAACATTAATTTTAAATGTGAATGGTAACTTTTTGACACAATTTTTTTTCTTAATCTTATATTGTTATTATAATGGTTTCTTAAAATGTTATCGGATTATTTTCAGGTCAACCGACGTCTTGGAAGCGTCTGTACATCGGAAACGTAAATTTGACCCTATATTACAGGGACGAAAAGCTGATTTTTCAGTATATTTACCTATTAGAGGTAATAAATTCTATTTGTTGGCTTCGGAAATAAAGTCTGCCGATTTTATTTTATCAAATGGAAATAAAATCGCTTTGGAAGACTGTGATTTGGTAAAATTAGGCAACGAAATGAAGGATATAATTGACAAATGTATTGATGATGGAGTAAAAAGTAATGATTTAATAATTTGTGGTTTATTGGTGGAAGGTAAGTTATTGGCATTTCTTAAAATTACATTAACGTCTGTAATCTAATTTGCCTTTTCCTGCATTCTTGCGACTAGGTTTTCAATGTCGTTTATTTGTTATGGATTTAAAATATGAAGCCATATATCGGATGATTCTTTTGGGGAAATTTTATCTCCCTCGAGATAGTTCTGATTTTGGCGTACTTCCCACTTCAATAGAACGCCTTATGCAAATCAAAGTTAGTATATAATGTATAATATTATTGGATTTTATTTACAATCTAACTTTTATCTTTTCTCTACAAAAGACTATAATGACCCGTTCCACCGAAATCTGCAAAAAAAAATTCACTTATCTAAACGTGAAACAATTCAAGGCAACGTGACTTCAATTAATGAAATGACGCGACCATCTTTTCATACACCAATAAAGGTTCCCCAGAAGAAATTAGTATAATATCTTAATTACATTTATAATATGTTTTTCTGTATAAAATCAATTTTCGATATAGATTTTTAATTGCTTTATTCAATCAACACATGTAATTACAACATCAATTTATAACAATGAATAAAATAGTGTGAAGTACAGTATGCGGTTTTCACGACCAAAATTTTGCTACTTTAATTATACATTTTAAATAAATAATAAAATATATACAATCTATCACTAAAACATGCAATCTGAGGTTGATTCATTAAAACAACGAATTTCTGAGCTTGAAGCCGAAAAGGCTGAGCTCGAAGCCAAGAATGCCAAGCTTTTAAAACAGGTTACGGAAGAGAGCACCAAATGCGAAGCTGAGAATGTTGAGCTCAAAGCCAGGATCACCAAATTGGAACAGACCGCAGAAGAAAATACTGAGCTTAAAGATAGAATCATGAAATTGGAACAGAAACAGATACAAGCTATTACTAATGAGCAGGAACCATTTACAAAAGATATTTTGTCACTTATCAAGAGCCATTCTTATGAGAAGAAAGATATTACCCACCCTTGTCTGAAATAGAATATAGCTCAACCCAATCTGAATCTTCGACGGAGCCTGAAACATCTATGACCTCTTTACCACAAGATATTATCGATGATGATTTAGCTGAGACTCGAATTTTTAGAAACAATACACAAGGAAAGGATTAGTAGTGAGATAAGAGAAAGAAACTGAAAAAAAAACTTCAAGAATCACATAATAACTCAACTCTACTGATACAATCCGAGACATCAACCATGTCAACATCTGAATCTCTGAACTCGAAAACTGTGGACAAAACATCCCAATCGCACAAGAAAAAGGGAATAGAGAATATCGTTCAGGTGATAGCTGATGGCATTCAGGATAATATTATTTCAGATGAGTCTTGAAGCTTTGATTCCTCAAATCATGTGACTGAAATTTCAGTGATGATCCATTATCAAAACTCTGATACAATCTCATTACTCGACTTGGCATAATTATTTGATAAAGCAACAAATACTGAATATTATGCTATAAAAGCTAACCAGGAAGAAATCTTATACTGGATTAACTATGGAAAAGAATTCGTAGTTCAATATAATGATCTTATAAAAAACAGTATTGGCAAAATTGATGAGAAAAAGGCAAAAGATATAATTTATGATAAAATATTAAAGCACCTTACTATCATCCGTGAAAAAAGATCCAAGAAAATGGGATTACAGCTCCCAGAAATCTCGCATAAAACTTTGTGTAGAAAAACCCAAAGAGCTATAAAGACTTATAAATTATTTGAAAAAATAGGGATTGATAAAATTAAGTATCTTAAAGCATACAGTGCAAATTCTATTTCAGAATTGACAAATGATCAAATTCAAAGGATTATCAATAATATTTCTGATTATAATGAGTCTAATATAGAAAATCACATGAGTGAAATTTCGATGATGACCCGTCACCAAATTCATACAACTAAAATTGTAAGTACTTTACCAGAAATTGAGGTAAGTGCATTTTCTGAGAAGTTATCACCGGAAAAATCATCAGAAACGATTTCAAAGGAATCGATCAAGGCAAGTGCATCATCCAATCCAACTCATGATCATGTTTACTTTCGTAATAAGATGTTGTTGCGATATTCTGATCTATATAAAGTATTTATTTCTGAAAATTTGATCGTTATGAAATTATTGAGGGTTTATTATGCCCAATATGTAAACTAGATCATGAAGATAGAAAAAGTGTAAAAGGTAGATACTAAAGATGATGTGACAACTGTTGCAACGTGATGACAAATAAAGCATCACCTAGTTGCAACTAGTTGCGGCTTATAAAATTTTGAAGTTGCAACGTGTTGCAACAGGTGACAAATAAGTATCACGTACTTGCTGCACCATCTCTAGTAGATACAAAGCTGGATCCTATTTTATTATATGTGAAAAGCGTAAAATCAAAATAACAGAATAAATCGTAAAGTCATCCAGGTATAGTCACTATGTGATTGCCTTCAGTAATTATTAATTAATGATATTTATTTTTTTTTAATTACTATTTTGGGGTATGCACAGTGTTTAAGTGAGACAAAGACAACCCATATTTAATTTGAATTTGCGATTGTATAAAACAATAATATGAATAAAGTCTTAACCTCTGAATATTTTGATTGGTATGTTAAATTGGTTAAAGCACCAAGTTCTTTGACTGATAAAATTCGTTTAATCTTATATAAAGCATACACAATGTCATGATCAGGCTCCTGGTAGGTATAATCGTGACGTAGGTATTCAACCAACATCTGATAATGGTATTTTTACAGTTACTCAATCTCGTTGTAATTAATATACTTCAGAATCATCACGCAGTGCGTTTTCTTCTATCTTTATAGATAGGCTCTCACTATTACTAATAAATGTTGTGTCTACTTAGTGTGGGACAGTCTTATAGCAATACAGTACTGATATTCTATAGCAACTTTGACAGTTGTCCAATAATGCACAATAAATGCAAGTATTTTAATAAGTTATTATTTTTAATCAATTAAGTGTACAAATTTTATTAACAATAAACAAGGACAGTTTATTGACTAGCTAGATTTTTGTATTGATCAATTGATATCTTTTTCAAAGCTACAATTATACTTTATTTATAATAAATATTTTCCATTAATGAATATTACATTTATAATTATTTATATAAGTTGATAAATAATAGATACTATATAAATAATGATAATTGTTGTAAATGATGATAATTATTGTAAATGATAATAATTGTTATAATTGTTGTAAATGACAGTAATTACTGTAATTGTTTTAATTATTATAATTATGAAAATTATAAGAATTATGGAAATTATGAAAATTATATAAATTTTCAGTCATAACAACGGAAGAGACTGGAATTGATCTCTGGATAAAGTCTGAAACTTCTGAATTCTCACAAATCGAAAAGGATGCTAAGGAAAAGATTTTATTTGTACCGCTGGTAAATGTTCAATCCACATTATCTAAATGACAATTTCCAATTTCTGTTTTACCTAAAGATCCAGAAGAAAGGTAACAATGCGTTATTAATATGGTATTAGAGCAATTTTCTTATTTAACTCTGAAACATAACTTTAAAAATAATTACTTTGATTTTAATAGATCAGTATCCTGCTCTTTATGTAATAAAAATCATAAAAAAGAAAATATAAGAAATTATATAGAGAGTTTTTGGGATAGTGATGAATATTGTGGCGAAAAAACTTATTGTCTTAATTGTTATATAAATAAATATCAAAATTCAATCCCAATAGTAATAGTGAAAGCGTAGAGCAATAAGAATCAATGGAAATATAAGTTAATTTTAGATATTTTTTTATTAATATATACTGTCACCGTTGTGACATGTTATATATTATTTAGATATTAGTTGATACATTATGTCATTATCAAGAAAAGCTCAACATTTATCTATATAATAGTATTTCTCTTACATGATGATAGTATTTAACAAAGAACAATGATTATTAGAAATCTAATTGGTTTTTATTAAAATATTTTAATTGGTTCTCTATTATAAATTAGATTTATGTCGTAATACATGCTTAATATAGATCATTTTATTAAGATTTA